CACCGTGGTTCGTGCTGAGCATCGCTTCCTGGACTGCTAAAGGAGGGAGTCTGGGTCAGCTCACCTTATCCTTGTAGATCTGCATTGGAAAACCTGCAATTGCTTCTGGTTCCCTTTTTTTTTTTTCCCCTTACAATTGCAGCTTTTCTTTGTTCATCACCCCATGGAGACTGCTCTGTGCTGTTTGAAGCGTGCTCTGCCTCTCAAGGATTGTAATGAAGCAATTACAGGTTTGGGGTATTTTGCTGCTTACTGTGGGGCTGCTGGGAAGGGCTACTTCCAGTCTCCTGGTGGGAAAGGGGAAGAGAAACAATCCATAGGTTATGCCCAGGAGTCAGAGCTTCAGTCAGTGATGCAGGTCCTGAGTGCGGTAGGCAGGCTATCAAGATCCTGCTGCAGTTGCAGTATGAAACATGGGCAGAAAGGGGCTGCTTTTTCCTAGATCTGCTCCTTAGTTTGTTCTTCCAGCTCTATATCTGGTGAAGGAACCATACCAGCCCCGTCCAAGAGAAATGCGACACATTTTTCATCTGAGCATCTCAAATGGCTCAAGAATATCTTAAGCCTTGCAGCCTCCCAGAGTCTTCACATGGAAAACCTAAGGCATACAGAAATCAAGATTCATCTTTGGATGCAGTTATTTTGGGTGCAAAGGCAGGATACATCGATAGAGCTATGTCAGTGCCAAGTTGCAATGGCACTTCACTACACACAGATAAAAAAGGGCACAGAGGGAGAACTAGTTCTCTTACTTGTTAATGTGACAAGATAACAGCACTTTGCTGGCAGGAAAGAGTATGTAAGGCTCAAAAAACAAAGCTGATGTAGTGCAGCGCAAACAGCTTCCATATTACATGTCTCCAACCAGTTTATTCTTACATTAGGAAACATGTATATGGAAGTCTTTTTCCAGCAGTTCAGCTATATTAGTGCCCTGCAATATCAGCAGAGCAGACAAGCCGTCCGGGCTGGGTTCTGGTTCCCTAGTTCATATTTTGTAGATTTTATTCCGCAGACGATCCCACTGAAGTTGAGCTCTCTCCTGTGTGAGCCATCCCTCCGAGTCTGGCTGCTCTCAGCAGCTTGCTGCAGGTCACACGAGCCCGAGGAAGAGCCCGTATGTCCTGGCGACTCCTGAGCCTAAACTGGAATAGTTGCTATCACCAAGCAGGGGTCTACGGCAACTTCCCAGATAGGTTGCAAAGGGCCCTGCAGCACATCAAAGGTAAAGGTTGTCCCCCTTTCCCAACTCCATCAAACCACGGTACGGCATAGGGAATTCTACCTTTTGAAGACCTCAGGAAGGCAGAAAGACCAAGGAAGATTTGGGGTCACGTAGCATGAGCTGCCTTACTCCGGGGTGGGAAACTGGCGGCAATGCTGCAGCTGTTAATACTTGCATAAAGTTGTGAAGGGTTTTAACAAGTAGCTCAATGTCCGTATCAGTCGAGGCCTGGCATGGCCATCCAGCCTGTCTCCAGCCTACCTTTCCAAAGCCTCACTAATGTGAGAGTTGGTATGACCAGAGGGTCTGCCTGACTTATGGCAATAGTATGCGAGTATCTCTCCGGAAGCAGTATTTACGTGCTCTTCTAAGGCAGCTGTGTATACATTAAGCATATCATGAAACACTTACAGTCTGAAACTGGAAACAAAGAGTGCAAGACAGCTTCTGCCTAAAGAATTTTCCTTAATTTAGGAATTGCTTTAAGCAAACATTACCTCTGCTTCCTGAGCACACACAAGGCTACTGCCCTGGAAATAATCTGCATTAGCCTTACTGGAGTGACCACGTTGCCATAGTTACTGTTGGATTCTCTATACCTCAAGCTTGAAGTATTTATTATGATTAAATCCAATCCCATCCCATTCTTAATTTAAAAATTCTGTGTTGAAAGTGTCACAAAGTGAATTATAATGTAATCCTTCCTTTTAAAAAGCTGCTTTAAGTAGAAATTCCACAAATGATCTTAGACATTGATATTTATTAAAGATCGTTAATTTGTGATTGGATTATTTTTCTTCAGACATCACTGCTGCTTTATTCTTAGTGATATCTGAATAGTAGAAAATCCTGACGCTATTATATAATTTCATGATTGTTTGGGTTTTTTTCTTTCACCACTGTATTGTGGACCATTCTCATAAAAGATGTTTAACATCCTCAGATAGACACTCAACTTTGACCTCAGAGGCAGCCACACGTGTTTCAACCAATCTGGCAAGAAAATCAAAATCTGCCCTATGACACAGCTTGTTATTGGAAAATTTTGGTACTTGCTCTCTTAATACCTGTGGATGTTACAAGGAGAAGTAACTGCTGCTGGGATTAATCTATTATAAAATGGCCCATGCTTCTCTTTTTCTGTTTGTTTTTTTATTTTTTTGGAAAGCAAGCTCCGAACTAGAAGGTCCCAACTACACTGGTCCTTGCTGCAAAGGAACACAATATCAAGCATGTAATCATTATGTAAGTTAGCTTTACTTGCTTTGGGAAATTTTATACCGTAGTTGTATATGACAGATTTTTTCATGTCCCAATGGCACCCTCTCCAGAGACCTATTTCTGGAAGATCGTTCTTTGACACCTCTCAGCTTTCCCTGGCATCCCCTCTCCGCCCTGTGTGGTCTTTTTCCCACGAGGCTAAGCCCAAGCTCGGGCTGGGACTCTGTCATGGTTTAACCCCAGTCGGCCACTAAGCCCCACCCAGCCGCTCGCTCACTCCCCCCCGGTGGGATGGGGGAGAGAGTTGGAAGAGTAAAAGAGAGAACACTCATGGGTTGAGATAAAGACAGTTTAATAGGTTAAGCAAAAGTGCACACCAGCAAAGCAAAGCAAGGAATTCATTCAGTCCTTCCCATCGGCAGGCAGGTGTTCAGCCATCTCCAGGAAAGCAGGGCTCCATCATGCATAACAGTGACTTGGGAAGACAAACGCCATCACTCCAAACATCCCCCCCTTCCTCCTTCTTCCCCCAGCTTTATACGCTGAGCATGATGTCATATGGTGTGGGATACCCCTTCGGTCAGTTGGGGTCAGCTGTCCCAGCTGTGTCCCCTCCCAGCTCCTTGTGCACCCCCAGCCTCCTCGCTGGTGGGGTGGGGTGAGGAGCAGAAAAGGCCTTGACTCTGTGTAAGCACTGCTCAGCAGTAACTAAACCATCCCTGTGTTATCAACACTGTTTCCAGCACAAATCCAAAACACAGCCCCATACTAGCTACTCTGAAGAAAATTAATTCTGTCCCAGTCAAAACCAGCACAGACTCATGACAGCATCCCAGACCCTTCCCGGATTCCCCTGGCAGCGGGTGCAGCCGCGTTTGTTGTTCACAGAAAGTCGGGTTTCTGCTTGTCCGTGGGCAGCACCAGAGGCAGCCCTTTGCCCTGACGTGCGTGTGGGGCGTGGGCCGGGAGCGAGGGGTTTCCAGCACCATTGCTTTTGGATCCCACCAAGCCTGACAGCTGCAGGACTGTCACTTGGCTTGCAAAATGTTTGTTATTATTCTTCTTTTCCACTAGAGTAGCTCTGCCAAAAACTGTGTTTTTATGTAGAGCAAGATTTACTACCAAACTCATACTTTTGGAGCAGCAGATAAACATTTAGTGTGAATGGTGCAGAGGAGCAGCGCATCAATGGAGAGGATTGTGCGGATTCTTTGTAGCAGACTGAGGTTTATCTCCTGAACCTTTTGTTTGGTAGGTGATTTATTATGGCCAGTAAAATGCCCAAGACACTCCCATTTTCTCCTTTCTTCAATTACAATGTCCTACTATTTTCTTGTTTTCATGCCTGCACCCGAACACCGTGGAATCAGCTCCTAGCCCTCCTCAGCCTGCTCCTCTCTTAAGGTCCTTACACATCTGATTTTCTGGAAGGAATCCCTCTCAACGAAAAATCTCGCCATGTTCCTGTTTCGTACAAATTTGTGTTGTTTTTCTATTTTCCTTTATCACAGCCGCTAGAAGCTTAGTAGATCTCTCATCTCTCTTCCATTTCCCCATGTCAGCTGTTATATTGCCCGCCACCAAAAATTCCTCACCCAACCTCAAAACAAAATTTTGGAGGTAAGTTCATCTTCCAGCCACCTCCCTGCACGCAGCATTTTCACTCGTTCTTGTCCGGCTTCTGCATCGTCCATCACTGTGAGTCCAGCCTACTAAACAATAACGTGCCATACTGCCGGCCGGCTCGTTTGTCCTGTCCCACCGTTCTCAGCACTGTGAAACTGCTCACACCAAGCTAAATTGTGTTTCAAAGATATTTTGACACAAAATGTTAAGGATATCAGTGAGCGATGCAAACAAAACCAGAGAGAGGCAGGGCCAGGGCCAGCGTGCTCCCTGCACTGCTGATGCTTTACAGCCGGTGCATGGACACATCTTTGGGCACAGGGTGGGCACAAGTTCCTGGCTTCCCCATCCCAAATGAATAGCTTCCCCCTCCCCCTTTGTCTTTTACCTCAGCTCAGCAATTGCTGTTTATTCTTCTAGACTTCCTAGTTGTCCTTAACTGCGGTGTCAACACTCCTTCGCTGATGTTTCCTCAATCCCACCCTGCCTTCCTTGCGGAGACCAGGGAAGCAGGTCCTGCACCCCGGTGCCTCCTGCATCCTTTCAGCTCACCCCCAGGATTACTCACAGTGTCTTTCTTTCTCCACTTGTTTCCTCCTGCCTCTTTTGTGCTGGCTGCACCCAACCCTCCCCCTGTCAGAGCCTTCATTCTTACCCTTCCTCCCCACTTGGCTTCCTCCATTCATCTGTGCCTGGCGCCATCGGATCGGGGGGTTCGTAGGCCACACTGCTGCTTTACGGGGGCTGCCCTGTGCCCTGCTCCTCCCAGCTCACCCCTCTAATTCTGCAGCTGGCGGTTCGGGGACCCTGGTTGCTCTGTGGGTCTGCACACTGGCACAAAGCAAACCCCGCAGAGCAGCTCCACTGAATCTTTTGCTTGTGTCCCTGTCACTTCCCACCTTGATGGCTGCTGTCCCTGCTTGCTCACCTCCTGGAGAGGTTTGCTCCTCCAGATCCCGGCCTGTTGGAGCAGCGCATCGCCCTGCTTCATCCATGCAGCACAACTAGTCCTAGAGACCGTCACTAGCTCTCCGCCTGCTTCTGCCCCTGCCACAAAAAGTTGACCCACGCTCATAGCCAGCGTTTCAGCGCCCTTTCCTACCCTGCGGTCCCTGTGCTCTACCTCTCCCTGTGCCCAGCGGGTGTCTAAAGCAGCTTGCTGCCCTCCCTCTGCGAAAGGCTCTGAGCTCCTCAGCCCTCGCAGGAGCGGGGAGCGACGGCTGCTCAGCCCTGCAGCCCTGAGCCGCGGCGCTCTGCAAAGGCTGCCGCTTCCCCCAGCAGCGCTTTCTTTGTCTCCTTCCTCTCGGGGTCTATTTATGGCTACTGGAAATGCAGAATGCTCTTCTGTGTTGCCTGCTAGGGCTAGGTAAATTATTTGTTTAATAGGCTTAGTTTGTTTTTTGTAAGCTGGCAGAATAACTGTGAATCATCAAATCTCCCTGAATTCACTCCACACAAGATACCAACAAAAGGATTCATTGTGCAGAGCGGTAACCGGAGCGTAGCTGGGGCTGGACAGAGAAGCCATACAGCGGGTCTGGCTTCCCAAGAGGCTGGAAACGCAGGCATTGCCAGCGCAAGGACTAGTACGTGCTGCTTTGAAAACTCATTGCTGACAAAAGCGTGTAGGTTTTTTCATGACATTGGGTCCCAACTACTCTTTCTTACTCAACCAGAAAGGCCCTGGAAAAGAGCCTTAAATAGTATTGCTGCTTCTGCTAGAATGAACATTTTTTCCCTTTTTTCCTAATTGTTAACAAAAAATAACAAAACTATTCAAGTGCAGCCCCTCTCTCAAAACAGCTTCCGGATGAAATTGGAGAACTCGTTCGGATCAGACCCTTAGTTTGCAAAGGGGTTTTCTCTCCCGTCTACCCGCTCCCTGGTCCCCCGTACATCACACCCTGACCTCGCAAGGGGCTCTGCAGTAAACCTGTGTGTGGCGGGCACGTGCAAGGCTCTGTTTCTGCAGAAATGGTGCCCACATAGGAGAAGAGATTTTCCAACTTTTATGCCCCTAATTTAGCTGTCGTGGATGTGAGCTTTCGGCTGCCAGCCCAGAGGGAGGGGAGGCTGCTCCCGCGGGTGCTGGGGACCCCGAGCCGGTGCCTGCCTGGCTCCGGCATCACTGCCCGGCTCCTGCGGGCCCCCCGACATCGTCTCTGCTCACCTGGTTGAGGGCAGCAAGGAACTGGGCTGCCTGGGCACCCCCTCAAGCTGCATCGCATCTTCACTTGGAAATCCGTACCTTCGGACAGCAGTTCGCTTGGATCCCACTTTGGTTTGCGGTTAGTTTTGTCCCCCTGGGCTCTCACACTTCCAAACCTCAGGGTTTCTGAGGTTTGGAATTTCCCAAACCAAATTTGAAATTTGCAATTTCCCCAATGCAGTGCTAGAAAACAAGGTTTCCAGGGGAGGACTTAAGAGAAGCAGAAGTGGTGTAGCGGTGCTGGGGGAGGCTGGCCCAAACAGAGGGGCATTTACAGAACCCAGCCTTGTGCATCATACGCTTTCCGAACGTGATTTGCCTAAAATATTGTGTATTTCAGTGACTGATCAAGGAGCCAGGGCCTGGGTTAATGTAATGATGGATTAACAGAAGGGAGAACGAACTGCTGCCTCCACAAGCCAGCCTACAGATGCACCATGAGGTGATGCTCTCTAAAGATTACCCGAAGCAGGAGTTTCTCTCCTCAAAATGGCCTTTTACATGTGTGCTAGCCCTGCTCCCGAGGCTGGAAAAGCAAAAGCAACCTTTTGTTTGTTGCTCTGAACAACGGGGTTTGCTGTGTTTTGGGAGCTGGAGCTTTCCTGATGCAGTTTTAACAGACGGCGCCAGTCAGAAGATTCTCCGGCTTGGGCTGAATGGCCTTTTGAGTGAAATGCGTGCCATAAACCTCTCTTACGCCGCTGTGTTCACGTCTATTATTGCTTTTACATTGGTAAATCCATTGCGGCTGCATGTTTGGCCTGTGGGTGTGGATCAGACGTGCCTTTACGGGGGTGAGGGGAGCTGCGTGGGGCGGCGAGGACACGGGTGCCGGGGAGCTGGGGCACGCTGCGGTCCTGGGGGCACGGCCCCGGAGAGCCCCTCTCTCTTCCCCCCGGGGTGCATCACCCGGGCACCTCAGCTGCCGACTCTATTGTAGTGTTAGTCGTGATACCTGACACTTTTGCCTTAGAGGAACAGCGTCCCGATTGCGGCACTGCTGGAATACGGAATGCTTAAGACAGCGCGGGCCGCCAGCCGCCGGAGCTGTGAAGGTGGAGCCCCGGGAGGCGGGAGAGCGAGGGAACGGTGGAAGGCCCCGAAGGCGGCGGTCGGGAGCGGGGCGGTGCGGTGCGGTGCGGGAGGCGCTGCGG